AGACCAAGGGTTTTTTGTGAGACCCGTAAGACCCATTTATGTTCATCGATCAACTTTATAAGCTAATGATCTAATGATCTAAAGTTGTACGGTGACAATTTTGTGATTATTGAGAAGTCTCGTGGCATTTATGAATGTTCAGATTGTAGATCTAATCCAAGGGTTAAGAACTGGTCTTACGGGTCCCACGAAAAACCTTTGGTCTCACATGATCTCAAGTCTCTCTCTCTCTCTCTCTCTCTCTCTCTCTATATATATATATATATATATACTAAGTATAATGATATAGTGAGAAACCCAATGAGTATATATAATATATAATTATAATTAATCTTATGTGATGAAAACTTATAAAAGAATTACATTATTGATTTGGTTGTTCATATAAATTTTTACTGATATAATGGTGTGATTATATAAAACTTCAGTTATTAGCATTGTAATTGATATATTTGTGTTTGAACTAAATTTTTTATGTTACCCTTATACAAATGCAACAATTTAAAATTTGGGTAATTAATATCTTAACATTATATATCATTTATACGTAAAATTGACCTTTTATATACATAATATATAAAACATCACGTAAAAATTAAATTGTATACACAAGAAAAATATTTGATTCCTCGATGGGGATGGGGATGGAGATGAAATATTATTCTTAGACAGGGATAGGAATGAGGATTGTGATCCCCGATACCTCGACACCATTGTCATCTCTATTCCAACATCCCATAACCTTTAAAGATCATGTTATAAAAAAAAATTCACTGTTTTCGGAACTATGTCACATGCTTAACTCAATCAACGTGTAAATTAATAAAGCCAAAACTTCGCAAAACTACAAAAACAGATGTTTAGATCTACATTATATGAACTTATCATTGAGAAACACCGATTAGCATCCTTAACTTTCTCTAATAGCAATGGAAACTTAAATAAAACGTTGTACAAGGTCATGCAGACCTTGATTAGGCATGGCAACGGGGTGGGGGTGGGGATGGGGCGGGGTTTGGAATCCCCAGCCCCGGTTCATAGTAATAAGCTCCGGCCCCCGGCGGGTACGGGGGATGTTCATCCCGTCCCCAGTCAAAATATGGTCAAACCCCGGTTAGACCCCTGTTTAGAGAGGAAAGGCTAGGCGGATGACAGCAGAACTGATGGTGGTGATACTGCCGGAAGAATGAGAGATGATCTTGTTTTTGCTTCTGCCTTTGCTTAGTTTTATGATTTTGAAACCAATAAAACACATTCTTGCCTTTGATGTGTCCATAAGTTTGAGGTCTACTGGTTATCTCCTGAATTTGTTCACTCGTCGGTGTTCTTAATCCTTGTCCATATAAATTCTCCAGCATGGCTATCTGTTCCTTCGTCGGATTCCACCTACCCGACACCGGTGACCCAGCTGCTCCGTCTCTGACAACCGCAATTGGTACCTCCGGTGTACCGCTAGTACTGTCGCCGTCGATGATCATAGCAGGGAGTCAGAAAGAATAGATAGATAGGGATGGTCAGTGTCAGTTTGCTTTTTTGCGTGGCCAAACTCAGCAACAAGGGCGATGGCGTGGCAAGCTGTCATTGACAGCATGACTTGGTCTAAAGTGTATAACCAAAAGCCCCAAGCCTAATGTCTAAGTCTAAATTGTATAACCAAAGCCCAATTACCCAATAGTCATTTATCAATATACCGGGTACGGGGCGGGTCGGGGAATACAATACCCGGCCCCGGCCCCAACCCCGGTTTGTCTCTACCGGGGATCCCCGTCCCCAGACCCGGTACCCGTTTTAGCGGGGAATCCCCGTCCCTGTCTGGGTCGGGTGAACCGGGTTCCCCACCGAGTCGGGGTAAATCACCATCCCTAACCTTGATTGATACTATATGTGAGACCCTTATAGGTTCATTTAGTATCAATAGTATTAATATGTGATGTGGGCATACAAAAAACCTACATACTCCCCGTCCGAATTCATCATAACCTAGGTCTAACATTCATTGAGTTCCTTTTCCTATGTGCATTTTTTCATCCATCGATCTTTTCTACTACTTACTCAACTTGATAAGTCTTATTATTCACATAAAATGTGTGATTATAATGATGAGGATCTTGGGTAAACCTTCCCTGGTACCTGTAACACACATGTTACCGAAGAACAATTACCGCATAACTTTTAAAGTTCAATTACAAGACAAATCTCAACAAAATACATGATACATGCATATACCATCAAAACATAAGTTTTATACCAACATTTACATCTAAAATACCGAAGAGTGTTCATCGTGAAAGCATCAACCCGAAAAAGTGACAACTATACAAGTACTACCCAAAAGTATAAATTACCATATACCAAAAGATAACGATCCTTGCTTCCGACACGAACAATCAACGGTCAAACAACTTTCTTTTTACCCCTATCTTTCTTTTCCTGAAATGTTTACTACTAGAGGATAAGCTAACAAAGTTTAGTGAGTTTAAATGGATATCATGTGCATCATGTCTCACATAAGTTTACATACAAGGGAAGTCAATGAATACAAGAGTCAGTTATCATCAAAGGCATGTGCTATCAAAGCATAAATTCTCAAGAAAACAACAAAGGCAATAAATTTTCAACGAGTACTTGATCGCATGAACTTATCCCACAAACATATCATATACTCATAATCATGCTATGCATAGCTAGTACATTAACCAACAATTTATGTACAAAACAACCAACAAACATTAGGTTTGACTGACCAATCCGTGTTCCTCCACTCCCAAATGGTGTACAAACCCTCTACTCATATTTCTGCAATAACCATCCTCCATCTCCGGACAGATGAGTAGGGACAGCCCCATCTTGTTGTCTCACCCGGATCCAAAGGTGTCCGAC